TGGTTGGTCACTGGTAGCCGTTCAAGATGTACTCGGTGTAGTTCCCGTGCTTCCAAGCGTGATTCCGACATGCTCAACTGCGACCTGCCACCTTGGCACCGAAATCGCGTTGAACAGGCCAAAGCTCATCATGAGACCTTTCCCGTGGATGACAAAGACCGACGTAGACGAGCGGAGCGGTATTGGGGCCAAACCATGTCCTTCAGCAGCGGAGCTATTCCCAGACCTAGCGAGTCAAGGAGCACAAACACCCCCTGACACCACCTGTATTTTTGCGCTACTTCGTGGACCTGAAAGAATTGCGCAGATTGGCTGAGAGGAGCAAGCAAGTGTTGCGCGCCCAGCGTATTCATATCAGACTGTGTACAGTACATAACGGATCGACAAATCTCGTCTGCATAATGCTCCGCCAGCGCTGTGAAATCTGTTGTCACATCCAAGTCCAAGGAACGCTGTTCACCCGTCGGGGGATGAGTGGCACAGGACTGCGAGGGTGTAACGTCATTTCTGCGATAGCCAAGGACGTCGAGAAGCTCATCAACTAGCGGGTACAGTATTATCAAGGTGGCCCAATAGATGAGGTGCGATTCGGCGCAGGCCAGGGAGGCGAATTGGAAGGGATCGGGGAATAAAGAGGTGGCAAGGTGTGCTCTCATGTCTTCCCGTAAGGGAACGTCATGAAGGCCAGTCGACGGCGTCCCAAGTTTCTCCTGCATCCTGAGACATGTCTGGTGTAGTCTTCCTTCTAGCGATAGGCAAGAACCCAGTAACTTCTCGCCGTCGTTCTTGTCACCATTAGGGCTAGCAGGGAGTTGCTCGATGAAAATGTCTACGTGTTCTATGAGAGCAGAGCACTCAGCCAGAAGGTCCGTCAGTTCATCGATTGGCTCAAGTTCCGTTGAGCCTTGGGATAAGCGTTGTTGCGTAGTCAAAACTTCATAGAGGGTGGCGGCCTTGCGTCTCCCCACCGCATCACATAACTGGGCGATTCGATGTCAGCAACACTCAGTTGTTACGAGGATCAGCTGGTTGATCAATCCGAAGCCAAGGAGACTGACAGTAACAAATTTAAGTTGACGGTGGAACAACTTCTCAGCAATAGTCTCTTTTTTGCGGACGCTGCACTGGTTAATGATCGCGTTACTGCCTTGCACATGCGCTATCCAGGCCATAAATCCCGGGGGTGACGAGTGGATTAACTTTGTGAAATGTTAGGCCACTCGCGAAGAAAAGGCGTAAGGTGATGAAATTAGGAGCACTGACTTCATATAACTGGAAAATGACTGTTGTGTATAGGACATCTTGGCCTAGGCCTCTGCCGGATTTGATCTTGCCATGCATGATCTCCATCGAATTGTTATAGAGCTTCGTACTATACCCGAGTAACCGATCGTCCTTGTGTTGTTTCGCAAGAAAAGCAGAAGAAAGCGATAGAAGCGCTCTGTCCAGCAGAGGGCTATTTCCACATAGTTCAGGGAGCGTTTTGAGGATGTTTGACTCTTTACCATCTTGCAAATGCCGTGACGAAGGAAGAAAGCCCCCCACAAAGGAGGCGAGCAACTGTGATCGGACCTCCGCATTGATATTCAAACGGGGAAGGCCTGGCTCCACTCGTGTTAATTGACGGTCGGGAATCTTCCCGGAGGTCGACTTCGGGCGACGGGCGAGCTTCAGTTCTCCATCATCTATGATCTCGGATGATTTGTGGATAAAGACCCTTTTCCGTTCATAGCCGGTACAAATATGGCCATTCTTGATGCATCGATTGCATTCCGGCTTTGCCTCGTCACACTACACACAGAGTCATAGTTTAGATGACCGTTCCTGTTCTGTCTCCGAGGGCAATCAAGCCTGTTCGGGCCTTGCATGATTGGTCTTACCTTGACCTTTCGTCGCCGGCACGTATTGCATCCGGTTGATCGAAAAGGAATGCCTCCCATAGCCGATTATTTCGTCTCACAAGCCGTCTGCCACGATTGATAAGATTTAGGGCGGGCAGACTGCAGACGGAGAACCGCTCGCTGTAGGAAGATGACTATGATCATTCGGGCTTTCGTAGCATTGTCAAGACCGCATCAGTGATCCCGTACGACGAATAATTGACGAGGAAATCTAGCGAGGCACTTGTAGGTATTCCAGGTACTAGTAGATACGTATCTGAGGAGAGGATGGGGATCGATTGTCGTCATGGACCGCGCCACTTCACGTGAGCCCCCATTATTGGGCTGAGTTTGTTTCTTTTTTCGGTCCGCTAGACGATCGTCCCTGACGGTTCCTTATCGGCTGTCATTCTTTTATCATCACTTTTTCTTTGCAGAAACCTTCAATTCTGTAGGACTTAAGGTACCTCATCCTTGGTCCACACGCCATCGCGCTCGCTTCATACGACCCTTGCGACCGGCCGAAGCAAGACAATGTCCTACAGAGCTTGATTGTCGCGCAGTTGGCACAAGGTTTGGATGGGACGCTGGCGATAAAATGCCCGGCACTTGTGAGGTTTGCGTCTCGGAGCCTTCGAAGTACCGATGCCCAACATGTGGGCTCATGAGGTATGTTTATGCTTCAATCCATTTTTCTCTGGGAAAGAAAGAACATACCCGTGCTAATTGTCGTCGTTCTAGTTGCTCCCTGGCATGCACTCAGTCCCATAAAATCTACTGCGCACCTAAAGCACCGTCACCAAAACCGACCGGTCTGACCGTCGACGCTCAACAGCCTCCCAGCGAATCGAACGAGCATGCGACCAGCGAGGTAGCACCCAAGGCTCAGAACGGCCTCGATATCAAATCCCTAGGGAGCTCGGCCGAACTCAAAGATTTACTCGATCGGTTTCCTTCGCTTCGTGAGGAGCTGTACGATATCTACAAGACTACTCTGGAGGAAGCATGGGTGGAGACTCAGCGCTTTGGAGGTCGGGGTCGACACCATGGGAGAGGCAAAGGACCGCACCGTCATAACGGACCGTGGACCCGTGAGAAGGGCTTCAACCGAGGAGTGGGAAGGGTGAGGAAGCTACGGGAAAGATGCGAGGAGGGTCTGGAGACTGGGAAGAAAGCGGAGGGGTTCGTGCGCTTCACGTCCCTGGTCACTGGTAATGAGCTTCCACACGAGGGCATGTAAGGGACCCCATAATAGTTGCGACTTCGCAGGACCCAACGCTGCCGGCATTCATGCCTGGGTACTTCCCGGTTGCGCACTCTACGATGAAATCTGCCGAGGATGTGTGTATTTGCATGCTAGTGCGGTCCGAAAGTCATGAGGATGAGGAAGGTTGATAAGGCCTCAGTGATAACTGAAAGACGGATGTTCAAGTACATTCCGAGGATGCATATGAAAATATATAGTAGTCCGTTAACTCGCTCAACCACAACTATCACCGACCGCGGTTGATCCATCATTCGGAAGCCATGATACTACCAGGAACAAATGAAATTTCCCCAATACAGAGTAGTAACTATTAGCTGTCTGCTGTCGGCATTTTTCGAGCCTGGACAGAGGTGTGGCAGGCCGAAATAGCGTTCACTTTCCCAATATGCGGTCTAGCTGAAGCTCGGTACTTTTGCCTGGCTTCACAGCATACACCGCCACCAAGTTTCAACAGTATCACCGAGTCTCCGACGTGTCTTCAGGTTCCCGCAAGTGTGCATGCCACCCATCTGCACAACGCCATGTAAGCATGAGGTGCATGAACCGGATTCTCCTCCTGCGAGAAGCCAAAGAGTCTAATATATACCTAAGCCAGACTGTGTTATGCCATCTGACCTGTTTGACGAGATAACAATGCGCCAAAGTAGACTTGAGAAATCAAGACCATTCAAGTCGATGCTGACATCGACATATCATAATGTAGCGCGATATTAAATGTGACGGTTGGCCACTTTAAGGCCTAAGGCATCAAAACATCTATCTCAACGGTTACTGAAAGTCTCCAACGGAAGACAGAGATGTCATCGTGCAGCATGTAGCATAAGACTTTTAGTGTATACTCCACCACTACCCCATCTAGTTTTCAGACAGGCCTACTGGAAATGATGCGCGGCAAGAGATCATCTGTAAGTAACTCTTATGCTAACATGTGACTAAAGTCAAAACAAATCCAGGGGCCAAAGAACGAACGAAGACGGCGCCATCGTGGACCAAGCATTGAAACCAGTAGCAGTCGCTATGTGCATCGAAACCTGGTCAAGCCATGTTTCAGAGTTTGACTTTCAGCATGGCAAGATTTGGGGGGTCCCTTGTCCATGGCGGAAGCACGAGAATGGTTTGGGTTAAATCATCCACCTGCATCCCCAGCCGAACTGAAGCGAGCGACCTCAACGTCGCAGATCTTCATGAGAGCCTTTCAACCTAGGCAATGTATGCTATCTGTCTACTCCGTACTATCTCTCCACGCCCCATGAGGGGGGGAAATGGCGGGGAAATGTGACCCGTTCGAAAGGATTCCTCCAAATGCCGCCAATCGTCCATCACCGTGCCTCATCACATCTGATGTCTACCAACGAGATGCCCGAACAACGGGGATTTGAGCAATTGGCCTTAACCTTAGGATTTGCCTTGTTGTGATTCGTAAACGCCTCCAGACTACTTGAGTTAGTTACCGATCTCCCCGTCTTGGAACACTGGCTAAGTTTTGACGAACTGCGATGTTATTCGTCCCGAGCACCTCCGCCCGCTCATGTCAATGGGAAATTCCGGGGAGGAAAGAGACATGGACCGTTTGCCTGTGATGTTACTGTATGCTTGGAGACACTCTGGGGAACAATCAACTGGGTGAATTGAATTCAACGCATTGCTATTGTTGGATGCAACGTAACTTGCCGCGCTGTTTAGGCGAGTTAGCTTTTGACGACCGACTCCCTTGCTGACAAGCAGTAGCGATTGGGGTTCTGGATCGTTGGCCGGAGAGTTTGGGGAGGAGGAAGGGAAAGCGTGAGGAGAGAAAGGCGGCGGCGGGACACACAAGGACCATCCGGTGGTGAACACGACCGATTTTAGTAAGATCACAATCCTCCCCAGTTGGCCTGGGATGTCCTGCCATTGTGTTGCTCCGCTAGGGATTCTGCCGGATTGACCCATAGAAGTGCCCCGGTGTTTCTAATAATAAGAATTTCAAAACACAAAAGCATAACCATAATAATAATTATCATCCTGCCGTTGGAGAGAGAGGGTTAAAACCAAACCAGACTTACTTTCCAAATCTCCCCGCCCGCAGCCTCCACCCCAAAACTGCCCCAACTTCCGACTGACTCTTTGGGGGCTCAATTTTTCGGTCGAGTGACATCTTCCCGCCTGCAACTGGCGGCACTCCCTCAAGCTGCTCTCTCCCTGACACCCCCTCTGTTTCTTCGCTGCCACTCATAGCTCTTACTGCCCCCCTGGTCGATTTGCCAACCCGGACGAGTTCTCGTAAGACTTGTGCGACCCTCTTGCCGGTACCATTGTTGTTTCTGTTGCTAACTTGGGTTCTACCTGTGTCCAGCTCCGGTAACCTGCCTCAGCCCACGAGATCCACGATAGTCGAGAAAAAGCAGGAAAAGAAAAGACGGAGAAAAAGAAAAGAAAGAAGAAAAACGAGGCAGACGACCATAAAAAATAACCACTCAGCTAATCATCATCGAAATTTGACCACCACAAACAACCGAAGATAAAAGGGGAACATTAACCCCCCCCCCCGAGCTGATTCGAGCAGCCTCTTGGAAATCTTTCGATTGCGGTGAACCCGACGAAGCCTGGACCTTTTCTACGTTTTCCACCCAAGCGACAATGGATGAGCTGTCGTGTCCGCCTCACTCACTTACGTAGCTGTTGGACCCTGCGCTGTCGCACCTTGTTTGTTCGACCGGACCTTACTCGCGCCACAGCACCGCCCATCCGTTCGCGCAGAAGAAGAAAAAGAAAGTAAAGCCACATCGTCACCATGGCCTCCCAACCCTTGCGAAGAGAACGAGCATCTAGCGATAAAGCCGATGCTGCGCCATTCCCACAACGACCGGGCCTTCCCAGTCGAACGATTTCTGCTCCCGTCGGAGGATTGTACCGACTTGATTCGGCTAGAACGGCAATGGAATCGGGGAATAAGGTCGACCGGACACTTCTGGAGGAGGATGAGAACCCACCATCGGCCGGAGGGGATAGGGTGTCATCATCAACCCGTGAGGAGGTATGGCTAATCCAAACTCATGTCATTGGACCCTTGGCGAGCGCATTGTTTTTCTGACCCCCGTGCGTGTACCGCAGACAACGCCGAAGCCGAGTTTCCCCCATGTGAGCATCGCGGTGGTCGGTCCTGACCATGTCGGAAAATCGACATTCATTGAAACCGCCTTGGACATGAAGCATCCGCTTACTTCCCGATCGACTACAAAGAAGATGTCCCTGGACGGGACGGTGTACTTGGTTCGCCTGATGGAGATAGATACATTGGAGATTACGATTGGGAGCAATGGCGAGGTCAACTGGCCCTTACTGGGTAGCGACTCGCCTCCTACAGTGGATGGGGTGCTGGTTCTACTGGATATGACTCAACCGGCCAGTTTCCCTGAATTTACCGAACTACTAGGTTGGTCGCATTGCCGGTTCTGCAGCGGCCGGGGTCGCTGCGCAATTTAACTCTAGGATGTGGGCTGATGGACTGCAGACTCCTTAACCGCTTCTGACATACCCTTTACGCTGGTGGCCAGCAAATGCGACATACAACCCCCTGACAGCCCTGTGGAGCCAATATTGGGTGGCTATGAAATCCACCGGACCTCACCTGACTCACCACGGTCGCAGAAGATGTGCATTGCCTTAGTTCTGCGCTCTGTGATCAACCGTAAATATGGTAAGTGGACAAGCTGACCTATGCGATTGCCATGTGGATACGCGAGAGGCGAGGAAAGCCAAAGAACAGGGCGGAACGGTCCACTGCCTCGGTGGCCATCTGTCTGCTCGCATCACCCAACGCATTGCGTCGCCCCCCGGCTATAGCCCATTCCTTAGAGTGATGGCCCACTGGGTTTCGCGCTAGTTTGCGGCGCGGCGTGTGTTTAGCGTTCGCGTATCTCGTGGTGCAGTGGTTTTCAGGACCCGCCGATCCCTCGGGTCCAGCTCGGGTCCAGCGCAAGAGCAGCTGGACCGCAGCTGGACCACCCAATTCCTGTGGCCGTTATTTTCCCGTTGGTCTGGTTCACACGTGGATGCTAACGGCTCCTCTTTTAGACTTCATCGATTTCCCCTCCAACTCATCCGCCACCCCAGACTGGCATCACAGCCGCACCAACTCAGAGACCCCCACCGCTGTATTATCCGGAGCCGCAGGCAGCCCAATCACAGGACCTCTTGATCCAGCTGTCGATGGGTACGGTGTAGACCGGCAACCCACCGACCCGGCCACCTCTGCCAACCTGGCTTCCAATGGCCAGGCCTTTCGTTACGCCCGGAGCAACTCGCATCCGGTGCGACCGCATACGCCTCCTTCGGGGTCCCGGCTGGCCTCGCGCAAACAGTCTGTATCCGGGGAGTCGTCGCCAAGTAAGGATCTCAACCGACAACATCGACTTCACACGGCCTGGCGCAACAGCGGCGGGTCAGATGCGTTCAGCAACTTTTTAGAGATGGGGGAGGACTTCGATGGGCCCCGGAGTGCTCCGTCGAGCCCGGGAAGCAAGGACCAGACGCCTAGCGAGAGCTCATCGAATGATGCAGGCTTCACCTTTGACGAGCTAGTAGATCGTCTGGTCGCACAACCGATGTCAAAGCAAGATTCGAAGTTCGCGTCTATCTTTTTGTGTCTCTATCGCAAATTCGCCGCGCCGTGCACCTTGCTGAATGCTCTGATTAACCGATTCGAACGGAATGAGAACGACATGACGGACCAGCTCGACCGCATCGCAGTTCAGCTGAGGCTGCTGGGAGTGATGGCGCAGTGGGTTTCTGAATATCCGGGCGACTTGGCGTACCCGAAGACTCGCAAGCGAATCACCGATTTCGTCACGACGCTGGAGAAGAGCCACTTTTACATGTTTGCCGCCAAGGAGATCGGATCGTATCTGGAGGGGAATGCAGATGACGATAATATCGGATGGCCGTATAGGGATGGCGACATGGAAGAACCTGACACCGCCGACCCTCCGTTCCAGTTTTCCGGGCGCAGCTCACCATCAATCTTCCTTGGGGCGCCGCCGCTTGGCGATGAAGGCGAGGAAGAGGAAGAAGATCCTATCTACAATATGAGCGCTTTGGACCTTAGCGAGGGTGCAGCCGAGCCTGCGTCGAGACTGTCGGGGTCGATGTCGAATTCGTTTACCTCCGAAAAGCCCGGGACCATTGCCAGCCAGTCGTTCACATTCCTAAGCACCGAAGCTGCGCAACGCGAGGCACATAACCTGGATCTCACGCCACGCATCCCGCTAACGAAAATTCAATGGCGCCAGCTGATGGAGATCCCGGATGAGGATTTCGCACGGGAGCTGACGCGCATGGACTGGATCATGTTCAATTCTTTCCGACCGCGAGACCTTGTGCGACATGTCAGCATCTCCGGCGTGGAGAAGGATAAGATTTTGAGCTTGAAGCACGTCAACCGGATGATCAAGCAGTTCAACCATGTCGCATTCTTCGTAGCCAGCGTGATCCTACTTCGGGACAAGCCCAAGCATCGGGCCAAGGCGCTTGAGAAATTCATGAACATAGCATTGGTAAGTCTGACTCGGAAGAATAGCGCCGAGACATTGTCTGACAGCCGCAGAAACTCCGCCGACTTAACAATTACAATTCTCTCGGGGCCGTGATCGCCGGCATCAACGGAACCCCGGTGCACCGACTGTCCCAGACACGGGACCTGGTCCCGGTGCAGACACAAAAAGACTTTATGAGGCTGGTCATCCTCATGGGGACACAGAAGAGTCATTTTGCATATCGTCTCGCATGGGACAATTCCTTTGCGGAGCGCATCCCGTTCCTGCCGTTGCACCGACGCGATCTGGTGTCAGCGGAGGAGGGCAACAAGACGTTTGTGGGCGACAACAAGAACCGCATCAACTGGCGCAAGTTCGAGGTAATGGGAGAGGTGGTTCTGGGAATCCAGCGCAGCCAGAAGACACCGTATCCGCATATGTCCAAGTACGAGGAGGTAGAACGGTTGATATTAGAGATTAAGCTGTCGGGGGATGACGAGGTACGCTATCTTCCTCTTTCCACCATAACCATACCATTTCTATGATGCTGACAATCACCAGGACTTGTATTCGCGCAGTATGCAAGTCGAACCCTCGGCAGGCGGCGACACCGGACGCAAGAAGTTCGGCTGGTTACGGTCGTGAGAGACGAGAGAGAGGGAGAGTTATGACTAGTTGCAGCAGAGTCTGCAACAGCAACAGCAACCACCAAGCTGACGAGTACAATGAATGATGATCGTCATTTGATTGATGATGATGTACATAATGTAGTTTTCTACTACACACAAACCCCATCCATATCTTTGCTACAAACTTAGAGAAAGAAAGAAATGTGAAATCACGTGATATACACCACCGCATCCTCCGTAAACTTATCCGTAGCCATCCATCCACACCCACCATCAAACCCACCACCAAACCTATACCACCCAACTAAACCAAACACCTCCTCCATCCCAAAGGGAGAAAAGAAATCAAAATGTCCACAGCCGCGAAAACAACCACAACCTACCGCGCCCTCCTCCGCGAACTCCCCCGCCGGACCCTCTCCACTCCTACTCCTCTCCAACACCGCCTCCGCGACATGTACATCAGCAACAACAACAACAACAACCAACAAGGTGTTGTGAACGCAGACACACAAGAATCCCTCCGCCAACATCGTCTCGACCAGGCAAACCAGTTCGCTATCTACGCTAAAGCCCAGCGCGTGTATGCCGAGCTCGTCGAGAGATATAACCCCGGTACTACCCTCGATGAGGAGGAGAGGATTCGGTTGACGGCTAGACGGGTCGGGTGGGATTTGCCTGTTGAGGCGGGGAAGGAGAAGGATGAGTGAATAAATAAATACAGAGACTTATGGGTTTGGGGGGGATAGAGATTGGGCTGGGGGGATGTGTGGATAGATGGCGGAAGGGGAGGAGATGGGAGGGTGGATAAAATATGTCATGGGTGGAGTTTTGGGTGTATAGTTTTTTTCTAGATTTCTGATTCATTTGTGGCTTTTGTGCTTGGAATTGGGGGGTTTGTATGATATTTTGTATGTATGATATGTTTGGGGGGAGGGTTGTATTATAGATAACTGTGATGAATTATTGGAGGGTCTTTTTCAGAGGAGGGTTGAGGAGGTTCTATGTTGTAAAGTTCATTATTAATTGTATTACTTTGAACATGATGTCTTCTCTGACTGAATGGGCTGGTGTATAGACATGGCAGGCATGTACTAGTAGGTAGGTGATTGTCCCATAGGACGGATAGTATATTATGTTAGTAGTAGTGAGATGATGATGATGTGCTTTCAGTGATTGGTACTGGTGATCCTCTTTCAGATTGTTCTTTTATTTATATTTATAGTAGAGAACTTTAATAACCAGTCTGATGGCCGATGCTGAACTTTGCTTCTAATAATATAACTTGTATCATGGGTATATGTATAACGGGCATAATATATATCTTCAAACACCTCCCAGCTCAACTTTCTCCATCTGCCGGCGCAACGTCGAGCTGCTCTCCTCATCCTCCAAGCCTACCTCCATCTCAATCGCCGTCTTGGGCCGATTCTTATTCAATCCCTCCAGCAGCGTACAAGCCTTGCACACGCGCTGACTGGAGATATACCCGCAGCGCTCACACGTCCCCAGTACCTGCGACTTGACCTTCTTCTGTGCTGGCGTCTGCACCTGCTCTGACTGCTGCTGCTTCTTAGGCACGCTATCAGAAGTAATCTCCATCTCCCTATCCTTGGCAGCCTCATCCTCCTTCAGCTTCCTCTCCATCTCCGCCATCTCCCCACCCCTCGTCCTCCCATTCTGACTCCCACACCCACCACCACCGCCACCCTCCTCATCCTCACCCCCCTTCCCTCTGACCTCAGCGGGCACCAAAAGCGCCATATCCTCCCCAGACTTAACGATATCCAAAATCGAAGACGGCCTAATCTTCTCCAAATCCTTGATCAACGTCCTCGCACTGCCCCGAAACGCCTCCGGCGAGTAAATACACTCCGTGGAGAAATAATCCAACTGGCGATGATGCGCATACAGCACAATCTCCTTCTCGTAAGCATACTTCAACGGCTTACTCCTCTTGATATCACTAGCCGCAGACCCCGTCACGATACTCGTACCCCTCGACAAGCGCGGTAAATCTCCTCTCAGCAGATTCATCATCACCGTCTCCGCCACATCATCTGCATTATGACCTGTCACCACATGCTTAATGCCCAGCTTTGCGGCCCCGCGATCCAGCGCCTGCCGCCGAAATACCCCGCAGTATGTGCAGTTTCCCTTTTTGCCGACCTGCGCTACGACCTGGTCCATGGTCCAGCCGTATAGATCGCCGTAGCTGACGATTACGAGTGGCATGTTGTATTGTTGGGCATTGCGTTTCACGGTCTCCAGACTGTCGTCGCGGTAGCCCTTGATGCCTTCGTCGATGGAGAGGAGACATAGGTCGAGGCCGTAGTTGTAGCGTTCGTTGAGGGTCTTGAGAACGGCGGCCAGGACGGTGCTGTCTTTGCCGCCGCTGGCGCCGATGGCGACTCGTTCACCAGGGTAGAAGAGAGAGGTCGAGGTGATGGTTTCGTGGACTTCGGTTTCGAAGACGTGTAGGAAGCACGTGCGGCACAGCTTTTGCCGGTTCTTAGGGCGGATGATTACTGCCCGTTGGTCGTGGCAGCGGGCGCAAGGGGAGGGGGGCATGGTGGTGGTTTGTGGGTGTGGTTCTGGGTTGAGGGTAAGGGTATAGTGGGTGATGGTGGAGGCGATGAGGGGAGCAATTTTTGATAAACTGATTTCGCGGGCCTGGATGTTGGCTTATCGATAAGGGATTGGATGAGTCAGGGTGTGGGTGTGTTTGCAGTGTTTGTGTGGGTAGTTCCCCGGGAAGGGTGAAAAATAAACAGGCACAACGGAGAAGAGAAAGAGGTAAGGGGGTGAAAGGATGAATTGTGGTAGCGTTATTAAATGGTAGTGTATTCTATCGGACAACGTCGTCGTCTATCTAATGTAGTGAGAATAGTAATAGTATTATATATATACCCATCATCTCGCCATCTATCGTTTACATCTTGCCCTTGAGCAGGTTGGAGATCATCTCGCGACCAGTGATTCTCGACGTCGCCCACAGGGTCGGGAAGTCGAGAGTGCTGGAGAAGGTATCGGCGTATCCGAAGAAGAGCATCGGGGGGATCCAGCCACGGGCGTACTCCAGAGCAAAGCAGGACTCATCCATCTTGTACTGCTTGACCTCACCGCGGCGGAGGTGGTGCACGCTACCCTGGGGGTAAACCTCGGGCTCGTAGGATCCAGGAACGTAGGCGAGCTGGGTGCCCTGGAGGATGTTGAAGTAGTCGTCGGCCGTGTGACGGCCAGTGTGGCCCTCAGTACCAATAGCGGTGCCTAATGCATAAGGAGAGAGTATTAGCACGTGCAATCAAGGGCATAAAAATACCCGGAAGACAGGGGAAGCCATACCGAAAATGATCAAGTACTCCGTGATACCTATAGGGAAAATAAAGCTTAGCACAGACACTATGGATAAATATAGAGGTGGTATGGAGCAAAAGAGGGGACCCACTAGCATGAATAATATACATTGCCCCCATCGCACCACCGGCGTTGTTGAACACCCATTCCTCGTCCAGGTTCAGGTGCGTGTCGGTGACCTTCTCGCCCAGCTCGGAGACGATGAAGTTCACGACCGAGCGAGTGTCATTACCGTGAGCAGCAATGGCGCGCTGCGACAGGTCGTGCAAGTGGGAAGGATCGAAGATGTAGAACTGCTCCAGCCGCGCGTTCAGGTAGCTGTAGAGACCGGTAAAAAGGGCCAGGAGGGCCACGGCGAAGCTAGCGCAGCGCATGATGACGAACTGTTCCGGATGGGAAAGCAATTGGCCGGAAAAACAGAAGCGCAAGAGAGCTAATGGGTGGTGGGGAAGGGGGGGAGGGCGTGGGAAGGAGAAAGAGAGGAGAGGGTGTGGAAAGGATGGGGTGATTATTCTTTATTGTTCTGATTGATGGATTGAGGATATTCAATTCCAGGGTTGCCTGATCCGGGAAGGCTACCAGGATGGTCCGGCTGAGTCAGCAGCAGACAGCAGCTTTTGGCCGTGTTTGCCTGGCTGTCAAACACGCCAAAACTATCATTCTGATCATCCCGTGATTATTCATTTCCCCGAGTCAACTCACTAACTAGTCTGTTAGTTACTCCGTAGTACCAACTCTACTTTATTCATCTCCAACGTCAAATTAATCCGTCCACAAAAATAGCTTGTTCTGACAGCACCATGTGTCTCGACGGAGCCCGATTGGGGATTAGTCCGATCGATTAATAAAGCTGTCCACCTTTTGGAACCCTGCGGACGAGCCACGCCCCCCTCGGGCGTCCTAGACATTCATTTAAACGGCATCCTGTTATCTAATCCGAAACGGACCATCTCCGTGGCTGCCCCCTCTCATCCGGGACATTATACCGTCTCGAGATGACGAATCCACTGATATTCCCCTGATCTAAACTTCCTCTGGATATTTCCACCGTGTCCGTGAGTTTGGTTGACCTCCATCCTGCACGGGGCATTCCGTGGGACCGTTTCGAAACCAGGAACAAGCACCACACTCATCCTATCGGCCTTCTCCCTCCTGGTCCACTCGGGGTCAGGATCCATTCGGCGACGGAATTTCCAAGAACCTTCGTTGACTCTGAGTGCACATGTCTCAACGGCCATGAGGACTAAGCTCAGCAGGTCCATAGGCTAAATCGCCCCGGCTGTTTCTGCTTGATGAGGGCTATGCCTAATTTTATCCTGTTCGAGAAGACCTAGACGGCACACCCATGGCTATAAGAAGGCAGCCCGGTCGGAGGAAGATGGATTTTTCTTCAGCAGCTCATTCACTATAATTCTCTGGGTCAGTGGACGTTGATCGCACATTGCACCAATATCAATACTTTACCCGACCAATCGTCTTTCCTTTGACCAACAATCACCATCATCATGAAGGTTCTCGCTCTTTCCGCTCTTCTTTCTTTGGCTTCGGCCGCCTCTATCAGCCGCCGCAGCGACTTCTGCGGCCAATGGGATACCGCCACCGCCGGTGACTTCATCCTGTACAACGACCTCTGGGGTGAAGACAACGCCTCCAGCGGCTCCCAGTGCACTGGCGTCGACTCGGCCAGCGGCAGCGAGATCGCCTGGCACACCAGCTGGTCCTGGGAGGGTGGCAGCAGTGACGTCAAGAGCTACGCCAACGCTGCTCTGCAGTTCACTGGTACTCAGCTGAGCTCCATCTCTAGCATCCCCTCCACCTGGAAGTGGACGTATGTTGCAGCCTAGACCTTCCGACCGACCATCAGGACGCATGCTGACTCTTTGGGAATAGTTACTCTGGCTCCGATATCGTGGCCGACGTGGCCTACGACATGTTCCTGGGCTCGACCGCCGACGCCTCTTCCGATGAGTACGAGATCATGGTCTGGCTTGCTGCTCTCGGCGGTGCTGGCCCCATCTCGTCGACCGGCTCCACCATTGCCACCCCGACGATCAACGGCGTGACCTGGGACCTGTACACCGGCCCCAACGGCGACACCACCGTCTACAGCTTCGTCGCCCAGTCGACCACCGAGGACTTCTCCGGTGACCTGAACGACTTCTTCACCTACCTGGTCGACAACGAGGGTGTCTCCGACAGCCTGTACCTGACCACCCTTGAGGCGGGTACCGAGCCCTTCACCGGTAGCAACGCCGAGCTGAAGGTGTCCGAGTACTCCGTTTCCATCGAGTAATTAAATTCACAAACACCGAGTGTGGCAGGATACATACTAATGATTTCAAAAAGGGATTGTTAGGAGCGGAGGATGAGAATGTAGGCGCCGTGTTTCAGCTCCCTAGGCAGGATACCGGAGGGACATAGTTATAGGACGAGGGGGGGGTTGTTTTCCTGAAGAAGGGGGGGTTACTCGAGGTGGCAAGCAGGAGTTGATGGTTTGATGACGCGCCGGGGCGACGAGGCGACGGTCGAATCATCATATGTACATAGTCCTGGAGCCCCGTTGGGTTGATAATCATGGAGGAATTCCATCAAGATTGCTAAATATAACCATCGTCACCCACGTTGAGACCTAACCGCGGAGGTGGAGCAGAGAGGGATGTCAAGCAGAGCCAATGCAAGACAGGCAGCAGTAGCCAGTGTAGCAGCTAGCCAGGTGAAGTAACAAGAATAGAAGCATCAGCATGAGGGGCAAGCACAATCACATCCAGCTATTTTAGCTAGCTTGCCAACTTATGCACGATCATCAATTGCGGCGCTTGCATCCGGGCGCTTAAGTGCAGCAGCCCTAAAGTGCTGACAGGGAGGAAAAGAGAGGGGTAGCATCAATCAATCAATCAGACTGGAATGGAGGGAAAAGTAACTAACACATGCTGTAAAAAAATCCTCCTTGAGTATAATTAGAAATCACATCAGGCTGGCCAAGTATCTCTCACGCGTTCCAGGATCGTGATGGGAGACTTCGTGCTGGCGACGCGCTCAGCTGGGCCTCTCACTTTTTTTTTGCCTTTTTTCCACCATTTCCCGCCACGCTCCTTGATTCATTCCTGCATCTCGTGTCTCGGGCATTCTTTTGGCGCGCGCCCCCAAACCCACCCCAGGACACACAGACACAGACAACTTACACATAATTCCAGTTCCATTTTTGTGCCCTTCTTCCCTTCCAATCCTGTCATCCAATCATCCCATCTTCCCGTTATGCTTGGCTACTGGTGGTCTCGGGCTGTCGCGCGCGCCAAACCTACATCCAGCGATCATCCATCGATCGGCCCCTGCAGGACTGGTGGTTAGTTCGTTCTTGTCTAGGGTTGCTTGTCAGGTCCCAACCTGGATGGGGTTGAATGGATGGATTTGAATGCATGTAATGCAATGCGCGTCGGGTGCCCTCCTGTCCTTGCAGCTCCTGTCCAGCCTTCGCTGTTGGTGTTATATCAGGCTTGGATGATCCGTCGTTTCGTCGCTGTTTTTTTCTGGTCGGTCATTCATTCTTCACGAGGGAAGTTATTTAACTATACCAACACAAACATCATAATCAACAACAACTTACTCCGCCATCATAGCATCGTGTGGTTATTTTTATTTCCCCACCACCACCACTTCTACTTATTATACAATATACTATTTTTATTTATTATCATTAACTCGTTGACAAGTCTTGTCTCTGCTCTATTTAATATTGGAACGATCTTCCCTCCCCCTCAAGTGGCAATTAACCGATCTTATCACTTGTCTCAAGTGACTGTCTCACTACTATCTTAAGCCCATTCATCACGGAGGTTGACACGACAACACATTCCTTACCCTTTCCTGCTGGCAGGATTCACATTCTTCACTTGTCTAATCAAGCCATCTCTATATCCTGCGTCTTGCTCGCTTTCTTTTTTGTTTGCCGGCTCTCGCTCTCTCGTCTCTCCTCTTTTTCTTCCCCTGCATCCTGCAAAGTACCATGGCTGTCCATCCCTACTCTCCTTACACCAACTTTGCATCCCCCACCACCAACACCACCACCGGCATCATGGATTTCGATCGGGCGGCGCTGCATGAGTTCATCATGCAGCCCGTCTCGCGGGACATGATCTCTCATCTGGCTCAACAAGCGATGCAGGTCATCCGCTGCGAACCGCATGTGACAGCGCATCACGCGCATGGCCAGCCCACTCCCCCCAGCACGCCGCCCTTGGATGCAGACCTGCCTCCTCTACCATCTGTCACTACCTTTATTACCTCGCTAGTGCTCCGCTCGCAGGTGCAGGTGCCGACGCTGATGACCTCGCTGGTCTACCTGGCCCGGTTGCGGGCTCGCCTGCCCCCCGTCGCCAAGGGCATGCGCTGCACAGTGCATCGCATCTTCCTGGCTTCCCTGATTCTGGCAGCCAAGAACCTCAACGACTCCAGTCCAAAGAACAAGCACTGGGCCCGGTACACCTCCGTCCGCGGCTACGAGGGCTTTGGGTTCTCGCTGCCCGAAGTCAACCTGATGGAGCGTCAGCTGCTCTTCCTGCTGGACTGGGACATCCGTGTCGACGAGGCCGACCTCCTGCACCACCTGGAGCCGTTCCTCATGCCCATCCGTCGCCGTCTCCAGCTCCAGGAGCAGCGACAGCGCGAGGCTCAGCTGCGTCAGCCCCGTGAATGGCGTCGCTTCCATGCCTCTGCCGATCTGTTTGCTGCTCGCCTTCACCGTCAGAAGGCCGAGGGTCGCCGTCTGCCTGGCGAGTCTCCCACACGGAGACGTCTGCCCCCCAGCCCAGCATCGTCAGCTTCCCTTTCTTCCGTCTCCTCAGGCAGCTCCTACTGCGCCTCTCCAGCGTCCGTGGCCGAGTCGGAGCGGTACCGCCCGTACCCACCTCGTCGACGTCCCTCGACCCGCAGCCATGCGTCTGTCTCTTCTCCGCCAGCTTTGCAGGATGTCCCAGGCCTATCACGTGCTGAAACGCTTCCCTCACTGAGCTCGCGTGCTTCCAGCATCGCACCCAGCTCACGGGGCGACACGCCCGCTAGTCTGCGCACCTCCAGCTCGATAGCCAGTATGAACGAGGTGCACGTGGTGGATGGCAGTCGCAGCCCATCGGTGAGCAACGGCTATGTCTCGATGGGCGGCACGAAGGTGGAGGAGCTGTCGCAGCCGAATAAGAAAGCCCGACACTCCCTGAGTCACGCACACGGACCCGGACAAACCCACCCGGGGTTCGTGGCGCGGTTCCTGGCATCCGCGGCAGGGTCGTACATGGGAGGCCGCCGGCATTAGGGCGGGATCATCAAGCTGGACTTGATGAGTTTCGGACGATTGTCTTCTAACACCTGCATTGCTTTTTTTGCTTTTCCTCTTCCCTTTATCATCCCGAATTTTGGGATAATTGATGAATTTCTTTTCTCTATCTTACCGTGTGACGATAAAAGCAGTCGACCCAATACCCTCTACCCCTATCTCTTCCCTTGATCTACAAGAAGATAGTACTTACACTCGAATCCCGTGATGGTGATTGAATATGCATTGCACAGCGGCGTTGATACTGGATTCATTGGATATTGATTTTTCTTCCATGTGTATTTTGCTTTTTGTTCATTCTTGATTTATTCATTTTGGATGCTTCCGCGTCGGTGAATCTTTATTTTTTCTATCCATATTTCCGTCCCAGATTGCCCAACTGACCCCTTTGATGATGACATTGATATTATTACCTGGATCTGTATGTACAAGCACGGTAGATTTGCGCCCTACTTATGGTATAATAGCATAGTATTATTATGATTATTATCATTATTATTCATACATGAGTATTATTGACTAGGGTATTGTGCTTGATCATCTGGACAGAAGGAAATGGTATCCGTGCGAGCAATGAGATGGCAGAGTGCAGGGCCGATAGTAGCCGTGGAGGAGTAAGGGTGGCGAGAGGGGAGGGTTGATTGATTGACAGCGAGGAATGAGGAATGTACCTTTGTGCATGGTACGCGCGGAGAAGATAGGAATGTGGGAATATTTTCAACAATGCTTATCTGGGGTAGAGAGAGGGTGGGATGGACTTACGTGGAATTGGAATGAATGATGCGTAATCGGATGGATGGAGAGTAGATAGGCAGACAATCTGTACTCTATACTGGCTTATGCATCTGCCTGTTGCAAGATGTTTCAGCCATCACCACGGATGTCTAGTAACAGGTACTCCGTAGGAGTTATAGTTATGTATGCAAGTACGTACTTCATGCCATGGAGATCATAATTCCCTATGCTGGTATACGTATGTCAGACACAAACCAACCAACATGGTTGCATTACAGTATGTAGTTAGCAATTAGCAATTAATGGTATCGCGAAATGATATGACAGCAAACCCCATTACCCATTATGACAAGTAGAACCACCAACTAGTGGATGAATTATTGAGGAACAAGCAACACAACGGCAGAAACTATCGAATCTTGTCTTAAATTTATGGAAATGACAATTGCTTTTTCCATTCTTTTTTCTGCTGATTATTTCCCCTTCCCGTTGCGGATGGATTGGGTGGTGGGGAGGAGGATTTCCTAGTTTAGTGTCTGGGCTCCACCCCACCCATCCTTCCCCCCCACCAGATACTTACTGGATTAGGACTAGTTGCCAGTGGTGGTGGATGGGTGCCAAGGGGAAGGGAAGAGGGGATTACCAGTTCGTATGGTATTTATAGTATCGAATTCGCCAGAATTGCCTCGAAGTGTGTAATTGGGGAATTATGTATGTATCAGATAGTTGGAGATGCCAATGCTGGGCAATTAACAAACCAATCCAACAAAGGAGAGAGTTTTGGGATGATAATGGATGGTGGAGGGTGTATCATCACTACTACTTACTGGACTAAAAGTACTACAAGGTATAGACGCACGAGCAAATTCCCCGAGTGGCTTCCTTTCCGATGATCACTTCTACCCTTCCATCAGGGATAGGAATTGATGGACCGGACTATCAATTACTTGTGGGTGTGTATACTTGGGATATCACCTTGAATTATTCTACAGTATAATCTTCCTTTTTCAAAGGGAAATAAGACAATCGGTATTGTCCAGCGCCCCGCCGAGGCTGAGAGATTGTCGTCATCCGGTCCGCCCGCCCAGAAAAGTGAACCCGCCCGCTTGCGTCTTCGCGACTTTCTTTCTCTCTCTGTCCGTGTCTTTATCGCATGTACTCAGATACTAATTAATATATTAACTCCCCCATCGTCTCCGCTGTTCCCGGACTGTCCCTTGCCCTGCTCGTTTTTCTCCACCTCTCCTCCATCCCCCATCCTATCCCTCCCTCCTCTACTCTCCTACTCTCCCCTCCCTCTTCCTCTTTCTTATCAACTGCTTATCATGCCACTCACCATCCTCTCTCAAACACAACTCCGCTCTCTCCTCCTGTCGCTCTCGCGCGACCAGATTATCGACCTCCAGCAGAACCTTTCCAATGCTCTGAGGGACTACTCCACCGGTAGCCAAGAAAAGGGCTGTGCGGCCGCCTACCAGCCCACGCGCACGGCCATTACCCGTCAGAATGGTTGCACCACTCTGTTCATGCCCGCCAGCACGGGCAACACCCTGGGCATGAAGATGATCTCCTTACAAGATAATGGTCAGGCCGGCTGCTCCGTCGATCCTGCTTTAGACTTGTCCTCCACAGCCTCCCGGACTTCCTCCTCCAGCCGAGTCAACCAGCGCAAGTCCATGTCCTCCATCTCCTCCGAAGGCAGTGAACAATCCATGTCCTCCCAAGAGGACGACGACCATACCTCCTCATCTCCCTCCTCCAGCAGCAAATCCCTGACCCCCGGCTGCGTGAACCAACAACCCATCGACACCGGTTTGTCCAACACCATGGGGGCCTGGCCCGCCGCCGGCTCCCGCGATACCTCCCCGCAAGGGACGGTGACACTGATCGACGAGACGAGCTTACCCTTTGGACTGATCAACGCCCACGAACTCACCCCCTTCCGCACTGCCCTGACCGCCACCATGACCCTCAACAAACGCAAGCGCGTGCGGACCGTGGTGGTATTCGGAGCGGGCAAGCAGGCATACTGGCACATTCGGCTGGCGCTGATCCTGCGTGGAGAGGGCATCAAACGAGTGTATATTATCAACCGATCCTTTGACCGTGCTGCCCAGCTGCTGCGTGATATCTACAGCCCCGAGAACGCCAGCTGGCGCGGCGATGTGAAATTCTCCGCTGTCAGCACGGACTTTGTGGAGTACGACCGCATCCTGCACGATGCGCTGCTCAAGGCAGATGCGATTTTCTGCTGTACGCCCTCGACGGAACCCCTCTTCCCTGCACACATCCTCACGTCGCGCGACGGACGCCGAAAGGGCCGTCTGATCAGCGCGATTGGATCATACCGGCCACACATGACGGAGCTGCCACCTGAGTTGCTGCGCGACGAGGTGACGGTGCACAGCTCGCATCGGCATTTCCACAAGCATGTGCGACGTAGTGGCGTGGTGGTGGTGGACAGTTTGGATGCAGCGCTGAAGGAAGCCGGCGAGATTGTGCAGGCGGGCATTCGGCCACATCAGGTGGTGGAATTGGGAGAGCTGCTGATTGTTCGGGATGCGTCGCGCGGGGAGGGCGACAACAGTGAGGATGGCAAGAGTCTTCGGGACTGGGTGGAGCGCGGCAATGTGATCTTCAAGAGCGTGGGGATGGGCTTGATGGATCTGGTGACGGGCGGCGATCTGGTGCGGCTGGCGCGGGAGAAGGGAGTGGGCACGACACTGGAGGAATTTTGATTGCTTGTCTTTCTTTTCATGTAGTAATTACTTGAAACTCACGATGCGGGCACCGGGAAGGAGGTAATTGCTGGACTATGATATCCATATTCAATACAATCATTCATTCTATCTTTATTCTATCCTATTGTTCATCCTCTTCCTTGAATGCTCATAATAATATCAAGTAAATTAGAAGTAAATCAGAGAAAATAGGGTAAGGAATGGACTCCCAGCCAATCAACTCTCCCAATTTCAACTAATTTGCTGACCGCCCGGAACATGACATCAACCATCGTCTCTCTTTTCTTTTCTTTGAGCTTCATTTCTTGTTCTGCTTCATCTGCCTCAGCTCACTGCAACTTCTGCATCTCTCGTGCTGCCGCGGGGATCCATTGGCACCCCAGGAACATGTGGCCACCCAGTCGGACAGCACCCGAACTGGGCTGATCTATTTCCTGCAGCGCCGGTGAAAGCAAAAGTGAGTTTCCTGCAGGCGCCGCGCGATCGTCAAAAACCCAGTGAGGGGCAACTGCGCATCATCCCACACAAGCTCATTCTTTGCCCCCCACTGTGTAGATACTACGATTTACTAGTGACTATTTACTCTTTCTTCTTCCCTGCCTCTTGCTTTCTCTTCCTGCTTTCTCTTCACTCCACTTTCCTGCTCAAAGTCAGGTCCAGTCAGCAACTATGCGCCATCACGTGTGCCATCTGCCCAACGGGCTGAGCTTCACAGTCTCCCCCGTCTTCGGTGGCTTCACCTTCAAATCCAACGATGTCAACTCCAGCCAGTCCATCGTGCCTCCTGGCTGGAGTATCGTTCTCGCGACAAACCGTCCAGACCCCGACACCACAGACACCAACGATGAAGAGCGTGGTCGAACTCGCGGGACTGGCGATGATGAGCAACGTGCCCGCCTAACTCGTTTCACCACCCCCACCCTGCGCGATGACTCCCTCTACATCTCCTACATTGTCGACCCACCCAGCAGTGACTACAAGCCGGTCAGCTCCCCCACTCGCCAGATCGCCATGATGCTCTGGGTCACGCTGTGGTGGTACTTCCACGAACCCCAGCCCGACCGTCGTCTGCAGACTGACGCCTCCGCCAATACCCCGCCTTCTGGCCAGCCCAGAGGTGACTGGCGCGTTAACATCAAGCGCGAAGGCTTCTTCAAGGGTCGCACGCTGCTACAGAAACTCGAGCGCATGGGCCTCATTGCCTCCGAGGACTCGTCCGTTGGCGCTGAGCCCTATGACCCGCAATCCTGGGCCAACATGTTCGTCAGCCGTCGCAGCTTCTGGCAGATCGACCCCCGGCTGTTCGTCTTCACCATGAGCCCGCAGGCCATCCCCCAGTCGGTGTCCGGCTCCCCGTTTGTCCAGCGCGTGGCCTCGCCGTCGCACGAGAGCTTCAACCTCGCTCACACAGCCGGCCAAGATGTCGCACATTACGTCCCCAACGAGGGTCCCTTTGCTTCTACCAGCCATCTACCCACATACTTCCCTCCACCCCCTACCCAATACACCTTCACCAACGGCATCCGACACCCCATCCGCCCCAAACCCCCACACCAGGGCGACGTCTTCTACATCCGTTACATCCCCAGCGTGCAACAGTACCTCTCCTTCCGCATCCCCTACATCCCCCCATCTCAGAAAAACCCCGCCCCACGCCCCAACAACCCCACGCCCAGCCAGTCCGCAAGCCACTCCACCAGCAGTCTCGACCAGCCCTTAACCGCAGGGCCGTCGGACCTCGACCTGCTGCACAAATGGATGAACGACCCCCGCGTCAACGCCTCCTGGGGCGAAGCTGGTCCCATCGAACATCAGGAGAAATTTCTGCGCACCAACCTCAGCAGCAAGCACAGTTTCCCCGTTATCGGCTGCTGGGATGGCAAGCCATTCGGCTACTTCGAGCTGTACTGGGTGAAGGAAGACCGGCTGGGGCCGTTGATTGGCGGCGCCGACAACTATGATCGAGGTATTCACCTGTTAATTGGCGAGCAGGAGTACCGTGGTCCCCACCGCGTGCAGATCTGGCTGAGTGCATTGGTGCATTACTGCTTTTTGGCGGATTCGAGAACCCAAACGGTTATGTTGGAGCCGAGGGTGGATAACTTCAAGTATGTCCCCACTATTCTACCATCACTCAATGGAGGAAGATGCAGGTAGAGATACTAACGAGTGAATAGGTTGATTACGTACCTCCAAGAAGCAGGCTTCTACAAGGAAGGCGAGGTTTCGTTCCCACATAAACAGTCGGCTTTGATGAAGATTAAGCGAGATACCTGGGAGTGTCCTGCTATTTAGTTTCCGATTACTCAAGAGGTGTTAGTTAAAGAATGGTGGTTACGACAAAGGTTAGATAATTCAACAGAATCAGGATTGATGTATCGTCAATACTAATCAGCCAGCAGGAACCGTGTTGCATACACAAAGAGAAAAAAATCAGTTAAGAGTAAGATACTCTATGTAGTGAAAAAGAAAGGAAACCGAGATGGGGTGCAGAGCGGGAGTTGTATAGACGATCACTTGTACTACCTTTTCTAGAAGCAACTCTTCTCTTCTTTCCAACGGTGTTTGGCATTTGCATCTAATTAGGGTTATGGTTATGGTATGGTTATGGATATGGTTGCGATGTGGATCATCTACCTCTACTTGATCTTACTACTGTGGTGGATTCCTGCAGAAATCGAATGATTCTCTCTTATGTACTGTAAAAGCCTACAAGAGATAAAATATTTTGAAATCCTGAGCTGAGTTAATTGAGAGTTGCTAGAATATGGGCAGTGAGTCAAGTGTTTGAAAGGAGGATGGAAGTCAGTTTCTTTTACTACTACTGTGCCATCAACGGAAGGAGAGGTGTGGTGCGGTGACCCACGGGCGAGCCGGCCACCTTTCTTTCTCCTATCAAGCAGGCAATTTGACCATCCAAATAATGATAACATGACCATTCAACATAAATCGAATAAATACTCGTATATTCATAAACCAAGCATAACCACATACCACATAACCAGAGAAGCAGTATAATTCCCGGAACATCATCACCGTATACCCCACTCACCCTATAGTCATAAGAGAAAAGAATCACAGGAAGAACCCAATCAGAGAAAAATGAATAGAAGAAGCTAATACCCCCACATATCCCCGTCATCCCTGACCAAATCATCCTCATTCAACACTTTCAACCCGCTCTCCTTCTCCGCCCTTCGTCTTTGCCTCTTCGTAATCATCGAGCTGGGTGTCAACGGCGTCACCGGCGTAAATGGCATGTACGGACTATACGGCGTCGGCATGCCCGTCCTCGGCCCATTCAGCTGTTTCATCGGCCTCTCCAGCACCGTGAGTTTCGTGGCTGGCGCGCTCTGTAGCGGGTAAGCATCACGGAAGGGTAGCGATGATGATGGACTGCGTCCGTGGTGGGTTGTGTTGCTCCCCGTCGGCGTGGTTAGGGTTAGGGGAGGAGGAACGGGCCCGCGGGGGGATCTTTCTTTGGCGCGGGGTGGCTCGAGACGGGGAGTTGGGAGGGGAGGAGGTTGGGTGTTGATTTGGGGTAGGGATGGTTGTTGCTGCTTTTGTGCAGTCATTGCAGGTGTTGCTACTGGGAGAGGAGGTGCAGGGGGTCGGGGTGGAGGATTGTAGTGTCTTGGGGTTAAGGGGGGTTGATCGGCCTGGTAGGATGGGGAGGCGACAGGGGAGGAGATCGAGAGTTTGCGAAGAGGGAAGGGTCGTGGAGAACGCAGTTTGCTGCTGTTGCTGCTTGATGATTGCTGCTGGTTCTGCGACTTGAGGTTGAACAGCGAAAGGGAGGAGATGCGGGATAGCCGGCCGCTGGACCGCGGGCTCAGTGGGGAGTTGTTGGAGGAGACGTGAGAGGAGCGATCTGTGAATGGATTCGTGGGGATGCTGTCTGGAGAGGGGATCTCTTTCTCTGCTGCTGCTTCTGCTACAGCTTCGTCTCCATCGGAGGAGTCCTGGTTGGCACCCCGAGCTGCGGCGGCAGCTTCTTTCTGTGCGTCATGCTCCATCACGGCGGCATAGAGCATCTCCAAGTCCTCCTGAGCACGCTGGCGGTCAGTTGCTACGACGGATTCGTCGATCGTGGCGACGCTGGTGGTGGTCCCTGAGGCGTGGGAGCGAGAGCCCTTGCCGAGGCTACTCCAGGACCGGCTGAAGCTTCGAGGGCCCGGGCTGGGCAGGTTGACGGAGATCGGGGTGACGGGACTGGGGTCCATGCTGGGAGGTGGCTTCACAGGCTTCATCATCTCGACGTGGAGCGAGTAGTTGGAGGAGAGGACGGCTCGTCGCAGACGGCGGCCCACGAAGAGGAGCAGCGAAAGAAGTACAGCAACGAAGATCACGTATGCACCGACGATGCCTCCGATCTGGATGGCCAGGAGCGACTCGTCCACGGCTGGAGTGATGGGATAGCTGTTTCGACGGACAGGGTTCAACTGCTCCTTTGATACTGAGCCAGCAGTAATGAGGCGGGGAAGGAGCGCAAAGAATAGCAGATAGGGCATTATTTGAGGCCGAGATGAAGCTTTGTGACTGCAGACAAGGTGACGATTAAGTAGCACCTGCAGACATATCGAATCTGGTCTGGAGGCTGCAAATCCTTGCGCAATGGAAGAGACATGATGGAGGAAAAGAGGGGAGGAGCGGTATATTGAGAGGCCTGGGGGAGTTGATGTGATGGTGTGAAGAGGTGATCTGCTGCGACGGCCGTCCCTCGTCGGTCGTTGGTCAATTTACGCGCCGGCCCTGCATGCACGGCACACTCCATCACATCGGGCGGTTGACTACTGGCAGTTATGCTCGAATCAATTCCCGCTAATTTAGCGCTTTGTGACAGACGGTAGCGGCATGTATTGGATAGGGTTTGTCTGTGCCCGGAGCAAACTACAGGGTCTGTTTCAAGCACATCCCGCTGTATGCAAGCATCACTGCTGTCGAGTCACAGCTTGAACCAAGTCCGAGTCATTTCCGCTGACTACCTTATCAGACAAGCTGCTTTGAGAACGGATTCTAGCAAACCTAAAAGCCCTTGCTAAATGCAAATAATCACCACTCGATGGTTGGTTGTCGGTTTGATCAGCCCGTGGACGTGCGAATTGCAACGGCAGCTTCATGTTGCTGACGAGATGTTCTCCACTAAGTAATTTCTGAAGTTGCTCTGACTGGTAAAAAGGATATTACAAACGTCGCCATTGGTACTTTCGTGTTTTGTATTGAAGCCGAGTGGGCTACTGGTCTTGCGACATGTTGAACGCATGTTTCAGTCAACCAGATGTATAGTATGGGGGTCACTGTCGTGTAGATGAGCCCTAAGAGCGCAGTTTTAGTATGCTCTTAGTCAGAAGTTAACAGAGACCCTCGTGAGTGATGATAGACCAAGATTGAGAACGAGGTTATCGACCTACTGAGAGTTCTAAGGACTGGTCTTGTGGTCTTGTCTCTCACTTTCTTTCTCCTCCCTCCCCTCGCACACTATCCCCCCTAAGACCCGTGGATACCATCTATTCTCAAAACATGCTTCTGATAGTATTGAAAGCTGGAAAAGCAGTCATCAAAGGCTCTAAGTCTAGTCTCGACAGTTGAGCATGAGCAACAACAACTCACCACATTTGGTACTGACCGATCATGTCCAGCGGGACCAGGCGAGGTCAATTGGCGGAAGCTATGATGGCGATAAATGAAGTCACATAGCCTATATCTATCGTTTGGGGCAGCATCATCATACGCGTTGGTCCTACTCAAGCCAATTTCTATGCTCAGCTCATATTGGGAAGGCGCAACTTGCTGGCTACTCCCCATGATGGTCAGTAATGTGCGTTTTGTGCATACTTATCCGTGACAGGGACAAATTTCTCTTCTCCATCATATTATCGTTGGCGCACATCGCTGAAACATAGCCACACACTCTTTCGAGATCAATATCCATAATACCTAAAGAACATACTGTCCTAGCGCTAGTCAAAGAGGTACTTACCATTCACCCAGCAACACAATTACCGAGACCTACCTGAGCAGCATCATCCCCATCACTCATTCCGATATGGCCCAAGCAGCAGAACCCCAAGGCCATTTCAATACCTCCTGGTCCGACTTCACAACACCACTAAACCGAAACACATCACTACTCAAGCGGTCGTTCGAGACCAACACCACAATCACAAAGCGCGCACTGGCCAACTCGCCGCGGAGAAGCACACGCGATGAGCTGGGCGCCGTACTACTAATGATATTCATCATGTTCTGCTACGCTAGCGCTTGGTATGGAATGAAGTTGCCTTTGCATCGGGTACTCCGCACACCAGAGGGAATATACCATTCGACGAGGGAAGACTGGTTTAGAGATGCTCTCCTCGTCTCAACAGTCGCACTCGTATGCAGCTTTGCTTCTTGGCTACTGGGACTTTATCTTAGACATCACGCGATGCAGTCCTGGTGGTATGGTCAAATATTATTGGTACTGAGGATTCTCGAGACAGCGATTGATGTGTTGTTGGCGATCGTCTGGATTTTTGGGTTGTACACGGTGTGGCGCTTGAGGTACAGGTTAAGAAATTGGCGCTGCCGCCGCCTTTGAAGACTTGGGTTGGATGGGGTCGTTGACGATGATGCTGTGATGACATTTATAAGTAGCAGTCTTGTAGTAAGTGTTGAGACGGGGACTTTGATGCTTGGTATTGGTTGAATCGTGGGATATTGTTAGCTGGAATGGATAACGTCGCGTTAGATAGATACCTTGTCTTTTGGTCATAGGAATCATTCATAGTATCTATTATGCAGGTAGTATCATACACAGCGCATCGTCTTTATTATATACAAGGCCGGCCCCTGACTGTCTATTCCTTCTTCGAGAACAGATCGCGCCAGAATTCTTTGAACCCATAGCCCTTTGCCTGATCCTCCTCATATACACGCACCTTACTCGATGTGCTCAGAGACTCCAAGATGTTCGCCGCTTGAGGCCCCGAGTTCCTTGGACGAGCTCGTTCAGTTGCACGCCGCTTGATTTCCTCCGCCAAGCTTGGAGCCACTTCCGCATAACATGCAGCTAGCTCACGCTCAAGGTTGAGGTATGGCTTCTGTGCCACCGGAGGAGCCTGAAGATTGTAAGTCCGAGTAAGTGCATTGAGATTCTTGATTGTCAGTTCAAGAAACGAACGCTCCGTGTTCATATATTGCGGATCACGCAGAGGCGTAACATAGGGCACAGGCTCTTTATCCTCTTGCGGCTCTGATACCGCACTATCAGAGCTCTGCGTAGCTCCGTCTGAAGAGTCCAGCCCTCCAGCATCACTCGCACTATCGCTCTCGCGGAACATCTTCTCTATCTTGGCCCTTTCTGCCAGTCGAGCCTCCGCTGCGGCATATGCATCTGCCCGTCTCATCTGCACATCCAGAGACCCTCCTTCGCTGGCGATCAGCCGGGCTGCATGTCGTCGCCACTCTGCCCTTAGACGTGACCGGAACCGATCAACCTCCCTAGCTAGGTCCTGTTGTTTCTCGATCCACGGCGGCACGATCTCCTGCTTCTGGATCATCTTGTTCATGAAGTACTCGGTCGTATCGATGAACGGACTATTGGCTCGGTGATCCGTCTCCGTATTCACACCCTTGCCCCTCTTTATCCTGTTGAACTGACCACGCGCCATCGCATCCTCGATCCGCTCGTTCGCAAGCGCCGATAACCCCTGCAGCGTGGCCGGCATAGGTCGTGCCCCGGGGGAGAACCGTTCCCGCATCTCTCGGCGCATAGCTTCGCGTTCATCCTCGGAGATCCCCTCACTCTGGCTCAGAGAATATGTTGCCGTGCGCTCTCGGGCTTTCGCTAGACGCACGCCAGTGGAATCTTTGGGCTTCGGGCTGATTCGCATGTCGACCGGGTTTGGCTGGGGGATCTTGTATGGTGTGCGTATGCGTTTCTTGGAGTCGTCCAACATTCGTAATGTGATGTCGTGGGTGGTTTCTGTTCCGGTCCATGCCTGGGCGCTTGCGATGTCTCGTGTTCCTTGACCTGCGCTTGACTGAGACTTGTCAGTAACCGATTGCCATCAAAACTGCGATACGTGTATAGCAAGCATACCGGCATATCAACGATAGAGTGCGCGGCCGCGTACTCATTCTTGAAAGCTGCCGCCGCCACCCTCTCCTCCAGCTGTTGCTTCAGCTCGTCCGAGAACCCCGCCTGTTGCATGTTCCTCTGCGCGGACCGACCTCCTTCCAGCATAGCCTGCTCTGTCATTTCCGACAGTCGCCGCGCCATAGCCCCTTGTTCTTCATCATCTTTCTTCCCTTCCTGTGCCCTTGTATCCTCATGTTGTTCTTCCGATTTCGAACCTGCCGCAGTTCGCCGCACGCTCCCAACAGAGAAGCATCTCGATGAGGGTATAACCTGACGTTTCGGCGCACATACCGGAGCGACCGTATTAGTGTAAAAAGCGCTCACATGCCTTCTGCTCATTTCTGTCTCCGATCAGCGTTTCAAAAGCAATCTTCCAATATAGTAAAAGCTGAAGAAGCAGAGGCAAACCAGGTTAGTTATCAGCGTGAACTCGCCGCGGTGATTACATCAGCCAGACAACTTCCGCGGCGGGCAAATCGCCGAAAAAGTCTTGGCACCTCCGAAGCCTTCAGTCAACTTTTGGTTTGTCCGCATCGTCACTCGGCTGCCGTTGTCGCTATCTCCCCCCCTCCCTTCCTTGTACCTTTTTGTTTTTGAGAGAATTTAAAGATACCAATTGCAACCATGCCCGCGAAAGCTGTCTCTACCCGCCTTAACCCGGTCCGTCTGCAGTCCATCCCTCACCTGCGCGTCCGGCGTCCGAACACCAATGAGCCGAATACCTGCGTTGCGGTGATGTCGTCTATGCTGAGTGAGTTATGCAACATTCCCTACGGAGATCGGTGTGGTTTAAAGCATATGGCTAATATTATATGAACTCGATCAGGCTGCTGGGCATCCCAGGGCTACACCCACGAGGGATGCGCCGTTCTCGAACAACAATTGAGATCTTGCATGGATGCTCCTGTACGTTCCCTCCACTCTTTACCACTCTTTTCCGCTGGAAATATCTCGATGTTGGATCATAATATGGATTCTGGACCGTGCTAACCATACCTTTTCCACCACATAGAAACCCAAGTCCCAGAAGCGCAACCCCATCAACTACCACCTCATGAGAATGTTCCCCAAGGTCGTCGGTCCCAAGAAGAAGGACGGTGTGTTGGGTTAAATTGCCAAACCATATATACACTACATTATTTGCGTGTGATTCAATACCATATTTCGAGCGGTTGCATACGGGCATATGATTTACCTACTACCTACCGTCGTCGAACTCTCGCTCTTTGTCTTGTCTGGCCTGATATGATGGATGAGTAGACGGTGGGGTGGTATGGAAGTGAAGAATTTCTTCGCGGAGGGGAGAGAGAGAAAATTGTTTTTATTATTTGGAGTTTTGGGTTTGTAATATCGACTACCTACCGCATCAGTTTTGATTCTGTGTTGAGGGTAGGCGGGAGGGTTCGTTTTTTTTTGTATATTATTATGTGGATGTTGTATGTTATCAATCATTTTCGAGGTTATTTTGGTGGTATCGTATAATGCTCGGTAGTTTTGACTATTGGGGTTGCAGAATAATAATGAAGTAAAACAGGATGATCATAAACTATATACTAGAATAGCTACCGGAAAGAAAACATAGAACCTACGCAACAGACTCAAACTTCAAGACCAGCTTCTCTCCCTTCGGCTTGACAGTATACGCATCAATAGCCTCAATATCCTCTTCATCAATGATAGCCGTCGTATAATTGGTATAGATCGCCGCGACTACCAATTTCATCTCTGTAGAATAACTGGTCAGCTTCATCTCATCAACCACTCCATAAACGGTATACATACCCTGCAAAGCCAAATTACTTCCCACGCACATTCTCCCCCCACTCCCAAACGCCCAAAACCAGCGTCTTCTTTCCTCCAACTCCTCCGACGAATTACAATCCTTCAGCCACCGCTTCGGCTGCCACGTCTCCGGCTCCGGAAAGACCTCCGGGTTGCGATGAAGCGAGTACGCCTGCGCACTGACCCGCGTGTTTCCGGGGATATCGCTATACCCGACTAGTGTGCATCCGGAGGACGGGGTGACTCGGGGCTGGATACCGGGGATTGGCGCATGCAGGCGTAGGGTCTCTGTTACGATAGCGTCGAGGAGGAGTAAAGAGTCGATGGATTTGGGGGTGGGGAGGTCTCGAGAGGATGATGGACGGGGGTACAGGATCTTAGGTTCTAGGGTGTGAAGCTCCTTGCGGAGAGAGGACTGGAGGTCCGGGTGCTTGGAGAGTTCCCAGAAGAGGTAGGTCAGGGCTACGGCGCTGGTTTCGTGGCCGGCTGTGAGGTGGTCGTAGAGTTCGCAGGCGATGTCGAGGCGTTGTTGCTCGATGAGCTTGGAGTAGGACGATGATTCTTTGGGCGGGAGCTGTTTGGATATGCTTTGTTTGAGTTGCTTGTAGACCATGGGTTCTGTGTTGAGCTGGGTCGAGGTGAGGCATTCGTCTGCTTTGTCGCAGAAGGATAGACCCCAGGCGTCGAGGACTTCGTTAGCTTCGTCGCACCATTTGGGGATTAAGCGGAGGCCGAGACGCTTGGCCCATGAGACGAGGTTGGGGACTTCTTGGTGGTAAAATTCGAAGGGCTTCCTGCTTTGGTAAAGGCGGAGAGTCTTGCGGCGGAAAGCTTCGTCTTGAAGGAAGTTGGTCCCGTTGGCTAGGCCGTAGAGATAGGCGGAGACGAAGTCCATTGTGATGCCCTGGTCGAGGTCGTGCATTTCAATGGGCGAGCCTGAGGAGGCGGCATCTTGGATGATGGGGAGGAGGCGATCAAGCAGGATTGTCTCGGAGATGAGGTGGATATGGGGTGAGGACTGCAAGAATGACTTGCTGTATATGTTGGACAGCATCCTTTTGCGGGTGGAGTGGGATTTGTTGTTTGTCATGGTGAACATGCTAACGGTTCTACCATTATGCAGATTACACATGTCAGTATAGTCGTCGCATGCAGTCGCTGTAGGGGCTACGCTTACCCAAAAGAGCCAAAGACACGAGGGTACCATTCGTGTTTCTCATACCCACCCGTGTAGATAGACTTGATGCCCCCATCGACGCAGTTGACGGAAACTTCCGATGGTGCAAGCCGGACAATAGGTCCTAGTCTTTCATGTGCGGATTGGATGGTCCGGTTATTCTGTGCCCTATACCGTCTCCAGATAATCCATACCGGCGAGATTGGAGCTGACCAGTGTGCATTGGGTATCTTCGACAATGGGGAGAGAAAGACTGGGTATATAATCAGTTTGTATGCCAGTAGTAGGATACAAAAGCTGGTTGCCGCGAGAGTAACGGCAGAGACCGCCATGTTGCCTAGTGCGTCAAGATATGATTGTTTGAGCTGATGCACAAGTGGAGGATGTAAATATCCTCAACGCCGAGCTGAAAGATTCCGAAATCCACAAGATGTCATATGAGCAACAAAGTAAGTTTCGGACAACTCCGCAATCCCAATGCCTGGCGTACCAGGCAAATGGTCAATAAAGAGCTACTATAAAGGAGCCACAGGACTAGGGTAGAGGTGTACGCCACGCAGAGGAGGAACAAGCACCAGAATAGATGGAAGAGGCATACCGAAGCCCTGGATAGGCCCAGATATATAGCCGAAGAGCCTGAGTCACCGAATGATGGGGTAACATCGTCTATCTCCAGCTTCTCCAACTCCTCATGAAGATAATTGGCTTCCACCACTCAGAAAGTCTGGATTGCCGATAAGTACCAAAGGAAGAGCCGAGGAGCCGATAAGATAAGTACCGGATGACATAAGGCTCTCCAGCCACTGTTCCTCCACCATCCACATCAAATATTCTGTGCCATCTACCACAGCATAGCTTCTAGAATTCATATTTGGGGTGTCAACTTTTCACTGGCCTATTCCCAGGCTTAGCGAACATATATACAACAAAGAATGTTGATACACAGGTCACGTTGATGGCCTCACGCACTCTGCAGATTACCGCGGCGATAGATCGGACGGGGCGCACAATGTCTTGAATCGCCATGGCGAATCCTTCATGCCACCACCACCACCTCGCCTTTCCTAGAGCATTCCCTTGTTGTTGTTTAGATCACTAAATGTGTGAATCTTCCTTTACATTCTCGTGAATCTTAGCAACTCACTTAACTGACACGTGTGACGCCAGAGATTTTTACGTCATCCCTGTGAATCATCTACTTGAGCATATAAGACAGTCTTAATCTGACATCCTGACCCTCAACATGCTTGCTCAGCTTCCTCCAGAAATCATACAGCTTATTGCAAGCTATTTGCCATCTGCCAGCGCGTTGGTGAACCTATCAATGACCTGTTGGCGTTTGCGACATGTTGTCGGTGCTCAAGACTGGCGCATATTTAGAACCTTTGTTGAGACCAAGTTCCCTGGAGTGGAAACTCCCGAAACCTGGAGAGAAGCAGCCCAGGCACTCACATCTCGGTCTAGAGCATTAGACAAACATGCAGTTATCGGTAGATTCGTCGTTCCAGCCGCAGAAGCAGTCAAGGTCGGATCCCATAGTTCCACACGAGGGGACAACCCTACTCATGGATATCGCCCTGCTCTGGACTCGTATGAAGTCTGGAATAGCCCTTCGTGGAATGATCGAAAGGAGGTCCTTGCATGGGGCGCGGCAGACGAACTAGTTCTGCGCATTGCCGAACCTGGTCCCAATTCGAAAGGGAAATGGGTTGTCTTCAACGATCTCGACGACATCAGCAGCCATGATGACATATGTGGTGTCCATCTTCTACGTCCTGAGCACCCTTCCAAGGACCCCGAGACTGAACATATAGTCGTTGCACGAGTGCGCGGAGAGCTTTTCCATCTCTCGATCGACCCTAATAGCGCGTCTCATGTATACAAGCAGCGGTTCATGACCTCCGGACTAGGCATTGAGCGAACAGATATGAGTGACGGAAAGGACCCAATCTTATCTGCCCATCTGAGCGACGGGTCGATATCTTTCTTCACTACCACTTCGGGAGAAGAGATAGTCCAGCCATTCGCTCGTCTCAATGCCGACACTGGCGACGATTCAAGCATAAGTTCTCGCCACACGTACCACAAGTTCCTTTCACCTACACTCTTCGCAGTCGGCACAGGAAGCGCCCACGAAGCGGTGATTATCTCCACCATTACACCGCAAGGTCTATCACCCATTCGTGAGCTCGATGCGGAGTTAGTGGACTTCGAGCGAGTCAATCTTCATAGGCCCATCAGACCCAATGTCAACGCCATTTCTCCCCTAGATCCCACCGGCCAAGTCTTCCTCGCAGCCTGGGGCGATAGAGCCGTCAGGTACAATCACATCCACTCCCATCATTCCACCCTTATGCTAACAAGCTCAGACTGCACGACCTCCGTTCAAACGACGAATACGAAAAGGTTTACCGTGATACCACAGACCAAAACCCCATCTACTGTGTCCACCCCTTCGGACACGACCGCTTCGTCGTCGGCTCCGGCGGTGACGCTCTAGTCAAGATCTTTGACCTGCGTATGCCAAAGAACGAAACATACAGCTACCGCGATGCCCGCCCTTCTCAAACCCTTCCCAACAACAACAAACCAATCGTAAACAGCCTCTCAAACCTCTCCCTCACTTCCACCAACAATAGCATCACCTTTCCCCGCAAAGACATCTCCATCTTCCTCTCCGCCCACCCACCATCTAGCCGCACCCAAGGCCGTCGCCGCCACAACACCCGTTCCTACCGCGGCGCAATCTACAGCATGAGTTCTCCCTCCCCCTCTTCACCAACCATCTACACCGGTGTCGCGGACGGCGTCGTTCGCCTTGACTTCGCCTCCACGGATGACCTCTTCGGCCCTTGTCAGGACTGGTATCGGGACCCACTCCTGCTCTCTAACGACGTAGGTCTCGACAGCACTGTTGCGCACACCCGTGCCGCGGATAAAGTTCTTGAGTTATCGGGCTACGAGCGCCCTGAGGATACCACGTCTTCTATCACTTTGCGCAAGCAGCAGCCGTTTGGGTCCGTCGGGGTGGAGGATCGTCTTGCGGAGGAGGTTACGGGGTGGGATCGCAGGTGGGAGAGGTTGGAGAAGTCGGGGTCCTGGAGACGGGTTGATGATTTGGTTGAGTAGTTGGTGGTATGGAGAGGGTGTTGGGTAAAAAGTGAGAGGAAGGGACAATAGGGCTTGTCTATGGTGTGGTGTGTACTGAATGTTGTTTACCGGTGTTGGGTTGTTTGGAGACGTTTCAAAAGGCGACTGGTTTAACTAGATTCGCATGAGCTATGCATTTGGACTGGTTACGGGTCCTTCAGCTGGATTTGGGGACTGATTGCATGGCAGGATTCCAGGATAAATTTGAATTGAGCATAGCAAGAGGCTATTTACGACCTACCAGCATGTACGATTACTTCAAAGGCTAGGGTTAAAATTGAAAAGCAAGGATATCTGAATACATGTTTATAACATCTCTAAGATCTAGATGATGCAAGTAGATAGTACATACAGGTGAAGAAGCGTGAAGCAAAAAGCAAAAGAAAAGCTGCAAGAAAAGCAATCCGACCGGGCTCCAGTAGCGCCTTGCTGTAGAAAATGATTCAATGACCCATCTAGGCTGCATATAGGTCTATATGGATGGAATCATAAGCGAATAGAACTTTTTGAATACCCATTTTGTTTCGAGCATGTAAAAGCTGTAGGTATGCTTGAGTGGTCCCCTATATTAAGAGGCAAGACTGGTCTCCATCTCTAAGATAGTATCGCGGATCTAGTCATCGAACTTGAAAGACTTGCCGCCCGAGATGTCGATGGGACCACCACGGTAAGAGCCGCGCTTCTTCTTGTTCTTCTCCTTGGTGAAGCCCTTGCCGCGGGTGACCGACAGATCCTGCCAGGCCTTCTCGGCGTAGGCGTAGGGAACGTAGTCGTTCGAGAGGTAGTGGTCGGTGGGACCCTCGCTCAGCTGCGCCAGAGGAGTGGGGCGAGCACCGGTGTGCTTCTTCTTCTGGGGGGCGTTGCCGGGAGCAGGGCTGGCGCTGCTAGATGCGGAAGTCTGGGCAGACTGGGACTGCTCTTTGGCGGCAGAGTCGGAGTTGCTGACGGTTCCGGTGGTGTCGGAGTCGGAGGAGGAAGACGAGGAAGAGCCGCTGGAGCTAGAGTCGGACGGAGGCAGAGGGGTCTTGGTAGCAGCCTTCAGGGCCTTCTTGTCGGCCTTCTTGTCGTCCTCGTCGGAGGAAGAGTCAGAGTCCGAATCAGAGTCGGAGTCGGAATCAGACTCAGAAGAGGAGCTGGAGTCATCGCTAGAGGAGTCGGAGTCGGAGGACACTTCAGACTCGGAAGAGGAAGAGGAAGAGTCGGATTCAGAGTCAGAGGAGTCCGAGTCAGAAGACTCCTCCTTGGCGGAAGTCACCTTGGTCTTCTTCGACTTCGGGGCCTCGTCAGACTCAGATTCGGAATCAGACTCGGAGGAGCTGGACTCGGCCTTGCGCTTGGTGCCCTGGGACTTGGCAGCAGGGGCAGCGGGCTTCTTCTTCTCCTCCTCCTCGTCGGAGTCGCTGTCGCTGTCGGACTCGGACTTGTCGTTCATCTCGACATCAGAATCGCTGGACTCGTCGGAGCTGCTATCACTGCTCTCGCTATCGCTCTCGCTTCCACTCTCACTCTCACTGTCGCTCTCGCTGTCCGAAGAGCTAGAACCGGAGGACTTCTCGGAGGACTTTTCCCAAGACTGGTAGAGTTCGAGCAGGGACGGCACGTTCTTCGCATCAGAGTCGATCGACTTGCTGGAGAGTTCTTTGGTGAAAGCGTCCTTGGTCTTGGACAGACCAGATTCGCTCAGGAAAGCGCTGATCGCGGCGACGAGTTGAGCGGGAGGAGCAGGCTGGTTGATTCATGAACTTGGTCAGTATTGCCTATCTATACAGTAAGAATGTCGGTCGGTTTGCCTTACAGTCTCCTTGCTCTTGGACACCTTGGCGGGCTTCGCCTGCTTGGATTTCTGACCGGCCATGATGATTGTCTGGCACAAACGCTGCAAACTGTGAAAATGAAAAGATTGACTTGGATGTTTTCGAGTTTCCCTTTATCGGCGAAGGCAGAAAAAAAAAAGGAAGGAAAAAACAGCACAAAGACATCAAAGGCGGTCAGTCGGGCGCGGTCCGTGATTGCTCGGCTGACTTTTTACGTGGGGCTCACGTGATTATGGTTCCGTGAGACAATACGGTCACGTGCCAGGCACTGGAGATTCTGGACCAAAGGCTGGATTGATTCTCTCAAGTATACTCATTGATAATGAAGTCAAAGTCAAGTCGATGTATTGACTCGCCGGGAGGGTAAATCCTGATGTGCTAACCTTCCATATGGCTCCTCAGCGGCTCGTCCTGTGAACGGTATAATCCGCTGGTGGAAGCAATACCGAAACTACTACGTTGTCCGACACGGAATGCTCCCCGAATTGCCTGTAGAGATAGCTAAATCTTCTCAAGGAAATGGCCACCATCAGGTACTCCTACAACCATATGCAATGGCTCCCGGATAAAAATATGCCACTCCGGCTTCAAGTGTCTCTGAATGGCGCGAATTAGCATTGCCGCGCGCCCTTCGAAGTACCAGTGTCTCTCCATCTGCTTCAACAGGACACAATAGTACGCTAGCAATATAAGTGCGCCAGGGTGCCGTTGGTGGAGAAGAGCCATGTATTCTAGCGACACTTCCATGGGCCATATGCGGAGAACGTCCCAGGTAGTAAGTAGTCCGCGGTGGGCACGCACGTACGCAAATGATCGGCACAAAACAATGGCAGCCTCTTGATAAATGGCTGTCACATCTTCGGGCCAAACGAGAGTCGTCTCATTTGTATCGCCAGTGCTTTGTGTGGCGGTTGCCTTATTTGGGATCACTGACAAGAGAAGTGTCAAATATGAGGGTTCTGGGTCGTAACCCAAATCAATGTCCCAGGCCTCCGAAAGTGCTCTGACGGGTCCCTCGTTCAACTGCTCCCATACCTCACACAGCATAGAGCAACCAGCGCGAAGAAAGTATAGCCACTTGCAAAGAATGCTATCAGGCTCGGTGCCTTCGCCATCATTCCGATCCACTAGAAGCAACGAGTCCTCGCTCAAGTTTGAGTCTGAGCACCCAGGTTGATCAGCGGCAAAAGAATATACCACTAGCAGATATGCAAATACCAGAATGGCATGGCAATTGTCCGCCTTAGGATGCTTGATAGCGTACCGAAACTGCGGGAGAGCAATGCCCTGATGGTGGTAGGCTCTTAGAAGAAATGCCTTTTCCTGGTCCGCATGCCCAGAGCTCATGTGTGCTCTGTGCAAGCTTGTGCAGGCTAGCAGGCCATGCAGAAGGAACACATTCTGGTGTGCTAGCCCCGGGACAATCGAGCGCCATATCCTATCTGTTTCTTCGTTGGTGGTGAAACTATGGTATGTGTGTTGGAGGTAGTGGTCCAGAAGGGCAGAATCCATGGAGTCCAGGCCTGCATGGAGCTTATCTCCTATCAATTCATTATTCGACTTTGCGCCCACAGAAGTGAAATACCGTAGGTGATTGCCACGGAAGAAAGTCTGCAGGGGAACCGGACGCCAGTCTGTGGTGCAATCGCCTTTTCGTCCATGCACAGTCCTCCAGTGGGACTGCATGCGCTTGTTAGAAGCACATAGATACATGCAGCCAGCTGCCTGGCATCGAAGACCGGGCTCGACCGGTAGGTGCGGGACCGGAAACTTATCAGCACCACTGGGAGGTACGACGTCGTTTGGCTCTCTAAGGCACAAGCTGGCAACGTAATGAGAATACTTCCGCCGGCGGCCACGGAGGATTCGATGAATCTCTTTCAGATGACGCAAGATCCCATGAGGCTGGACGGCATATCGGCAGGTACTGCAAATGACAACCTCGTAATCCGGAAGATAGTGCAGCAGCTGGGACGGGTCAGGGTCATCCGGCTGAGACGGAGATACAATGTTTGCATCCAAGCCCATCTCGGCCACAGCTGTCACGAGCAACTAGCATGGAACGGCAGCGACGATTTTCCCCTGATCCTTTCATTCATGGCCTTCTTATAGATGACTGGCCGGTCCAGACTGGCGCCTCGAGATATCGACGGTGCCGTTCCCGCTATTCCCGAAGCGGAACATTGCTGCCTCATCCAACCCTAGAAGGATCATAGTGCAAAAGGCATGGATTGCATATCTCCGTTCCTAACACCGAGATATTGGGACATAAATATGGCTTCAGCCCGTCTCGTTACGAAAAGAGACCAAACTCATCCCTCCTATCCACAATCATGTCCTATTCACGCAGTATCCTCATCACCGGAGGTACCGCCGGTCTAGGCTACTACTGCACCATAGAACTCGCGCGCCAGTTCCCCAACTATCAAGTAATAATCGCATCTCGATCCGACTCTCAAGATGCCACCGGCTCTATCAACAAACTCCTGGGCCAAAACAACGTCAACTACCTCCGACTCGACCTCTCCGACCTATCCCAGATCCGATCCTTCGTCCAACAATGGGAAACCAACAAATACCCTCCCATCCAGTACCTCCTCCTCAACGCAGGCCTACAGTTCCCCGGACCCGTCGAATACACAGTAGATGGATACGAAAAAACCTTCGCGATCAACCACATCGGCCACGCCCTATTATTCTCACTGCTGGTCCCCCACCTCGCCCACACCGCAAGGATAGTAGTTACCTCCAGCGGCACACACGATCCCGCACAAAAGACCGGCCTGCCCGACGCAAAGTACACCAGTGCGGAGGAGCTCGCTCATCCGACCAAAATCACAGCCCAGAATCCCGGCCGCCAGCGTTACTCAACCAGCAAGCTTGCAAACGTTCTTTGGGTGTACGCGCTGCATCGGCGTCTCAATGAGTCGAAAGATGCAAGGATTAATTCGTGGACCGTTGTTGCGTTTGATCCTGGTCTTATGCCTGGGACTGGGCTGGTCCGTGAAGCGAACCCAGTCGTGCGCTTTCTCTGGCATGTGATTCTCCCTCGCGTCATTCCGCTTCTGCGTGTGTTGCTGGGAACACCGAATATCAGGTTGCCACAGGTGTCGGGGGCTACGTTGGCTTGGTTGGCTAGTGGTAAGGAGGCTTTGTTGAGTAGTGGGGTTTATTATGAGGGGAGGGAGCAGATCCGCTCGAGTGAGGAGAGTTATAATCTGAGCAAGCAGGATGACTTGTGGGATTGGACTGTAAGGAATGTTGCCTCTACGAAAGAAGAAGTCGCGCGATTTTCGTTGACGGATTAGTCTATATGTGTGTTGGGCTTGGTTTGTCTTCTGGTTTCACTGTTGGTGTGGGGGTTGTAATCTGATACTTGCTTCTTGGATCTCAGTGTCTACGCTTTGACTATTCCAATAAATCTTTCCTCTTATATTACCCTTACCATGAACGTAATTTGACTGGATTCCGTTCAATCAACACTAAGGTACATCGATGTAATGTGCGACATTGCGAAATTAATCTCACCACACAGTACACGTGCCCTAGACGGTAAGCTCCGAGGTGCGACTTCGGAGATTTTCTATTCCCGCGTGAAGACAATGACCAAAATCTTTAGGAACTCCGTGTTATAAGGAACGAGTGGAGGCTTATCTTCAGTCTGTTTACGGTTCCCAGTAAGGGAATAGGAAATACGCAGGCAAAGTAAGCTGCATGCCTGTCCGTGCGACGAACCCAAACGTAATACATTAAACACGTCAATCACTGCCACATTCTGTTCAAAGATCTTTACTGTGATGTGCGGGCAGTTTCAATGCTTAGAACATAATAACCTCCGTTTTGTTCGTTAGCGGGTGGACAACTGCCTCTGCAGTTCGGGTTGCGTACCACGGGTAAGTGCATTACCTGTAACTAGTCGTTACTCTAACTTAAAATGAACCTTATATGTATACTTACGATCTATTTAGTCATGTGGTGTTCCTTAGATTCTGCCTATATCATAGCACGAAAGATTTCTTTGCTGATTCTTCTCCATTGGGGTTCAGAATGCAGCTGCCGAGATGTCTCATATCGAGAGCCCTGGCACTGCCCGTGCCGAACTTCCTCGTCAATTCTCTTTTTTGTCAACCTTGGCCTTGGGATACAGCATTACCAACTCATGGGCTGGTTACGCGGGTATCCTATCGATACCTTTGGTGATGGGAGGGAGCCCAACGGCTTTCTTTGGCCTTGTTGTTGCTTCGATAGCTTGTTGTTTTATCAGTAAACCCGCCCTGCCCTATTAATGAGAAAGGCATTAATATCCTGTCCGTCCATAGCTGCTGGCCTTGCGGAGTTGGCGTCTGCATTTCCCACTAGCGGAGGGCCATTCCATTTTGCTTTCATGGCTTCGGCGCCCAAGCACCGTGCCGTGGTTTCCTTCGTTGTTGGCTGGTTGACTATGATTTCCTGGTGCACGGTGTCTACATCCAACGGAATAGTCTGTGGTAAGTCGTCCCTCCTTCCTTCACATGAATTCTTCTAGGTATGATCGCTGAAAAATCTGTTGAGAAGCACAAATGATCAGTGGTCTGGTGACTGTCCACCATCCAAGCTTCACAGAAGCTGCCTGGACAATCTACCTCATCTATCTTCTGATCGTTCTCCTCTCAACTATGGTTGTGTGTTTTCTGCCTCGTGTTATTCCTTTAATAGAGGACTCTATCCTCACCTTAAGCTTGCTCACATTCAGTGCCAGTTTCATAACGGTGTTAGCAATGCAAGATCACAAACAGTCCGCGCACACTATATCCTTTGTCTATGAAAATAATACAGGCTGGAGTGACGGGACAGCCTTCATGATAGGAGCTGGGACTTGCATGTACGCATACATAACAGTCGATAGCATTACCCAGATAGCCGATGTGAGTTTCTCTGCTGCCATATGGCTACGTTCTGCAGCTCGCTGCTAACGGTTGGTCATCGAAAAGGAAGTCCCAGAGCCAGGTCGCAATATCCCCCGGGCGATGATGTCTACCGTGCTGACTGGCATGGTAACCTGTATTCCATACTCAATCACCATTCTTTTCTGCACAAACGATCTTAGTGCCGTTGCATCTTCTTCAATCCCCATCTATACGGCATACTTGCAAGCAACATCCAGTGCAGCTGTGGCCACTCTTTTCACTGCATGGGTTATATTCTTCTATTGCGCGGCCGAATTTTCTTGTATACTGACAGCGGGACGACTTGCATACACGTTTGCCCGAGCTGGCGGTCTTCCTTATTCCTCATTCTTCGTTAGGATCACGAACGAGATGCCGTTGAACGCCACACTGGGTTGTTGTGTGTTCATCTGCCTATACGGACTGATATACATTGGCTCAGCATCAGCATTCAACAGCCTTATATCGATAGTCATTATTGCACTTAACATTTGCTATGTTATCCCGCAAGGAATTGTGCTGCTTCGTGGACGTGAAGCTGTGCTTCCGAGAAGAACTTTCGCATTGGGAAAGTACATTGGACCCTTCTGCAATGCGGTTGCTGTTCTCTGGGTGGCAGTCATATTGGTGTTCTTTTGTCTTCCTCTCCGATTACCTACCACGGTGCACGACATGAATTATGTGAGTGTAGTACTCGCAGGGTTTGTTGCTTTGATTGCTCTTGGGTGGTGGGGAGGAAAGAGGAGGACGTTCACCGGTCCGGTATGTAATTCTTAGTTCCTTCTCCGTTCATGTAGTGGGTTTAGTCCGCTGACAAACTTCGTTGTTGCTCTACCACAGGAAATTGAATTTCTTCATGACGGACAGACTGGGATGGCACGAGTGCCTGATGAGTGAAATAGTGTAACTGAGCTGTATAAGGAAGACTGTATAATACCAGCCTGTTGTTAGAGAGCCAATCTATATACAGAATTGCAGTGATATTCGATCTCCTGTGCTTGCTACCATCATTAGTATCTTAGATACCTATATATGAAGCATTTTGAAGTCAGTACTGCAGATGGGCAATTCTCGCAATTGATTCCTTGAGACGAGAAGTGAGGTTAAACTGGATCCAAAATTGGACTCGACCACCCTGCATGACAGTAAGACAGTTGCTTATGCACAGGCAACCGGAGTGGATCGTGCCCGCTTAATGCAAACGCCTCTATGTGCTTACATAATTATGTTGTACGAGCTCAAAAGTTGTCGGATGGCATATAGGGGATCTACTCAGGAGGAATCCCTGTAACTCTCCTAATTGCAGAACTACAGTCAATAATCCTAGCATATAGCTAGCCCACTTTTCGCATCATCGATCCTAGAGAGGAGTGCGACTACAATTGCATCGTAACCACTGCCACCTCCGCCGAGACTAAGTTCCGTGCCGTATCCGCAGCCGCCAGCCCATGCTCTCACACCCTCCCAAGTTAACGGTAGCTTAGTGGCTAAGGAATGACCTAATCCCACCTCTCTGGTTCCCTCCTCCTCCACCTTCCGTCGGTTTTGGAACTCGGTTCTGCGCCAAATCGTGTATGGCGTCGCCTTCTACCGATCTACTTGCTTTTTGAATGAATCACGATCTTGCTCGTTGGAGCCTATCGATTGACTGACCATCCCAGTCCTCGCCCACGGCGCGCGCCCCGTGTGATCCCTGCCCCCGTCTTCCCGATCATGTCCACTTGATTCCCGAACACCTCCTGAGTGATCCAGGCTTTCGGAGATCGATTAGCAACCATGAGTAGTCGTGACCGCATGCGGGGTCCCCCGCCCGGCGAGATGCCCCCTCAAAGAGATCCTCGTCGAGCTGGTGATAGTCGCAATGGCGGTAACGCCGGCCCCGGGGATGCCTCGATGTCGAGGGCCGAGAAATTCGAGGATGAGAAGCGGCGGATCATTCATAGCTGTTTTGGCAAGAAAGACAGCGATGGCTCGTGTATGAACATTTCTCTCGCGCTCCTCTTCTAAAAAGGTGTCCGGTGTTGACTTCTTTCCCTTACTCCTTCCTTCTAGTGGTCGAGTCCTACATAACACATGTCCGCATTTTGGAAGATGCGGCATACC